CTCCGGAAGCTTGAGGAATTTCATGGTCCCTTAGAGGATGATCCAGGTGTGATATTACCGAAATATGGTGAAATGGGTGTAAAGAAAATTATGTTTACTGGAGAGGGGCTTCCATTATTTCCGAAGGTCTCTCCTCAGCAATTGCACGAAATATTCGTCAAGAATCCAGCTAACACTGATCAGTGCCCATGTCTAGAACAGGTTAGTTAATCTATATTTTTTGTTACACAGACTATAACCCAACAAAAAATCTTCCAAGCTGATCACCGTTCCAGATTAGTTAGATCGGTAGTGTACCAGGCATTCTGGAGCTAATATTCTTTCACCAGCTCTATATCGCTGGCGCATCCGAGCTAAACTAGCAAGTGTAAGATGATTACTAACTATTTCAATGAAATCAGGAGGTGACACAAAATTCTCAACGTGTATATTTCGATTTAGCTGATCTACAGCTTCTTTGCTAATTTTATAACACCCCTCCAGATTAAGGTATTTTAAATTAAGTGGTGATTCGCGAATAAAGTAGAGAAGGATATATTCTTTCCAGTATCTAGAGACAATTTTCACTACCTCTATTCCTAATCAGACCCCTTACAGACTAGAAAAAAAGGATCTAAAATATAGTTCGGAATCTGGGAATATGAAATTAGTTCTTCCTTTAGCGAGGCGAGCGGTTTGGAAGGCGGAATCATGAGAAACTAATTCCCCAAATTCTATTATAACATTTCTCTACTTCTTAGACGAATCACCACTTAAGACATGAACAAGCAATTTCTCTGATAATCACATCGGTAATTTTACAAAAGCTAAGGTCAAGATGTTGGAGCTTTGGGCAAGAACGAATAATATTACAAATTGATATTTCAGAAAATTCTGTGCGATTAGAGATATTTAGATATTCTAATCTATGGCATGAATTTGCGATTGCAGATAAACCTATATCATTTTCTGACCGAAATCCCCCGCCTAAATTAGATATATTGAGATACTCCAAATTTGGGTATGATTCCGCTATTAGCTTTAGAACTTTACCTGTACAGTCTATACTTCCTTCAAAATTTAAATGAATTATATTTGGGAATGTGTGTACAATGCCTTTGATTTTTTTATTTGAAAGTGAAGGGTAGCGTGTTATTTTAAGATGAGTTAGTTTTGAGCTATAAACTGGCTTTCTTCCTCCTCCGGGTACTATTTTTAAAAATCTTTCCAATCGAAATTTATCCTCTACTTCGTCCCCCTTTAGCTCAATACGTCTTCATAGAATAGGGGCACCGCATCTGTACCACAATCGGGAAACATATAGAGCAGGGTGGAGGGATTTATCTATTAATAAGAAATGTAAAATCTGTTCTAATAGTTCTGGTATAATAAAAATGCTTGTATGCGCCATAAATAGTCTGTATTATATGTTGTATCTTTAATCGAAAAAATAAAATTAACGTGTTCACTGCTCTGGGTTAGTTGGATCGGACTGCCAGATATTCACAAAGTTCGGAATAATCAAATATGCCTATGCACAGTGCCTTCGGCCAATCCTATCCTGTCTTTTATCTTTGACAGTGATAAGTCCAGTTGCCCTATCATATGTGTGGTCATATTTGATCGGATTGCATAGTGGCATATACTGCATGGGATTAGTAGTAAACTTACCTGCTGTCTTGCGCCTATTATTTCTCGATCTTTTAGCCATTACCAGATAACTTTTCTGATTCAATTAATCCCTTTTCAGAAAAATTATTTCACATTTCGTCTATATCACTTCTTAACATTTTTTCGAAATCTTCTGGTGCCATGTCTTTATATAGATAATAGATTTCCCGGGCGATTCTTTTAAGATTTTGATGTATCTTAGTTACATCATGTTCCAACGCTATAATAGACTCTTTGATATTCACAATAGTATATATCCTTTCTTTTTCTGAATCTGTGTAATTGGTTTTAGAGGGCATTTTTATATATCTAGAAAAAAATAAACTGAATATTTATCGTGCCTGAACAAAATCTATAATATTTATATTAGCATTGTAACTTGTCTTCCTGCTTGCATATATGTGCCGTTCACTACTCTAGACGAAAAAAATAACCTTCGTAAAAGCTTTGACAAAGACAACTAGATTGCCATTGCTTTGAGCATCTCTTCTATTTCATTGTCTGTCCTTTCACGATTCTCCTCCTTAGCTACTTGATAATAAAGCTCATATAGTTCCTCTAGGCTGGCACATAGGTCGTTATCTACATATCTTTTGCGATAATTTTCTAGCCTTAGAGTGTATGCCTCTTCGTTTGGAAACATCTTCGTTGCAACTGCCTTAATATAGTCATTTGGATTCTTTTCAGCTCGCAGTTTCTTTAGATAGTCTCCATAATTTTTCGCAAGATTATCATATTTTCTGCCTTTTCGCAATGCTGTTTTTATGACTTTAACTTGCGCAAGTTCTATATCCTTATGATCAACCATTTTTGTATATTTCTACTATAGCAATAGAAAAACTTTAATTAATGAAAATATATTCCTTAGAATTTTTTTTCCGAAAAAATATTAGTTATAAAAACATCTATGCCTTGACACGAAGTTTAGCTTTCATAGCCCTTTCTTCTGCTTTCTCAGGAGATATTTCAGATGCTAACAGACGTTTATAAAGTCCAATTCGCCAATGTCCATAAGGGAGTGTTCGAATCCCATCAAGTAAGATCCAGCGCTTGTTATCATATGGATTTAACCCGATTTTATTTACTCTCTCCAGATATATTTGATGATCATAACTACGGAGACCATACATATCATATCGGGTTAGTTTCTTATTCCTAAGACATTCTAGGAACTTGTCATATCGAAGCTCCCTTTTGACCACGCATTTCTTAACACCCTTAGCCTTCTGAATGCTATGCTTTTTCTCCCAATACTTTACACCTTGAGATTTTCTAAATTCTTCCTCTTCTAACTCTTTCTCAAAATCTGCAT